CACACACATGCACACAAACACCCCTGGACACACACACATGCACACAAACACCCCTGGACATACACACATGCACATAAACACCCCTGGACACACACACATGCACACAAACACCCCTGGACACACACGTCCCATCTTTCACCCCTCCACTGAGCAAAAGCTGCTGTTAAGAAATTGAGAGTATGTATTTCTAAATATGTTTCTACATGGAAGAGTATGTTTTTTTTTTTTTAGTTTTTATTTTTTGAAGGCTTATACTTTTTTAATGTGTGTTTGAATATATGTGTGTGTACCACATGCATGTAGGAGGGCAGAAGAAGACATAGACCTCCTGAAGCTGGAATTACAGATGGTTATAAGCCATCATGTGGGTGCTGGGAACCAAACCTGAGTACTCTGGGAGAACAGCAAATTTTCCTAACCATCTCTAGTCACCCTTCTTCTGGTTTCTAAGCATTTATTTATTTGTTGTGTGTGGTTGGAGGTCAGAGGACAACTTGTGGGGGTTGCTTCTCTCCTTCTGTGTGGGTCCCAGGTATTGATTTTTTTCTTTTTTCTTTCTTTTTTTTTTTTTTTTTTTTTTTTTTTGGTTTTTTGAGACAGGGTTTCTCTGTATAGCCCTAGCTGTCCTGGAACTCACTCTATAGACCAGGCTGGCCTCGAACTCAGAAATCTGCCTGCCTCTGCCTCCCAAGAGCTGGGATTAAAGACGTGTGCCACCACTGCCCGGCCTAGGTCCCAGGTATTGAATGCCAGCTTTCACCCTCTGAGCCATCTTGCTGGTCCCCGTACTGTATTCCGGAGTCACCCATGATAACGGTAGAACTTGTAATCAGGTAACCACGAACTTCTCCAGAGCTGAAGCTCCATTCGAATACTGTCCAGTTCTCTTACCGAAGGCCTCTAGCCAAGTGGTGGTACATATTCAGAAGGTGTACAGCCTGCCCCAGGGTCACTGCTACCCCTTCTCCCTTTCCCAGCCTCAGACCACCATGAAGCTGCCGTCCGCCTCTGTGAGCCTCCTGTTTTGAGCATTCCTGTGAACAGAATCATTCATTCACTGTGTGGTCTTTGATGGCTCTTTTAGCAATGATGCTTTCAAGATTCATCCACGCACAGTAATGCTTTGTTTCTTTTTATGGCTGACTAGTATTCCATTGTGCAGTGTACTGTATTTAGTCCGTCCCTTCACTGGCGGATGAACATTTGAGTTGTCTGCTTTGTGGTGATTATGAAAAATGCTGCAGTCAAGACGTGTGCATAGCCCTGTGTGTGCACAGTTGAGACATGTGCATAGCTCTGTGTGTGCACAGTTGAGACATGTGCATAGCCCTGTGTGTGCACAGTTGAGACATGTGCATAGCCCTGTGTGTGCATGTCCACTTCTCTTGGATGGAATAAAAAGAGTGGAATTACAAGGTCTCACAGGAAACACCACACCATTCTACAGCCCCATTGGTACCTTATGAGGATCCCCGGGAGGTACTGGGCAGCTGGGAGGGAAAGTCACAGGGTTGTCACGGTACAGACCTTTCTTGGTTGTGAAGCAGTGAGAGGGAAGAGAGAGAGTCCAGTAGCTGTGGGGCTTGAACAGATTGACTCTGGCCACTTAAGTCTCCTGGGGATAGACAGGGGTCAAGGGACAAGGTTTCTTCTCAGGAAGTCAGTGGTTTTTTTTGGGGGGGAGGGTTCCTCAGTTGAGGGAGTGTTGTGTAGCTGTCCCCTGAGAATGGGAAACTCTGCCGTGTGTGTGTGTGTGTGTGTGTGTGTGTGTGTGTGTGTGTGTGTAGGTAAGGGTAGGGGCAGACATCTCAGAAAGCTCAAGAGGCTTAGGAATTTATGGAGCCTCCGTGGAGATCATCATCTAAGCTATAAGCAGTTGCTGGGGAGAGGAGACAGAGGTGTCTGCAGAACACGCAGGGAACCCCAGGGATGCAGATTCTGTGATCCTTAGTCATGTTGGAGTAGGCCGTAAAAAAACAAAATACTACCGTGTGGTGGGTATGTGTGTGTGCGTGTTTGTGGTGTGTGTGTGTGTATACACATGTATTCACTCCACTGCATGCCTGTGGAAGTCACAAGACAACTTTTGGGAGTGGGTTCTCTCTTTCTACAATGTGTATCCCAGGGAATGACTTCACATTATCAGGCTTGGTGGTGGGCAGACACCCTTACCCACTGAGCCATCTTTGCAGCCCACAGTGAGTGGGCCCTTTGGTGACAGCTTTGTGTCACCCACACTCCTATAATTAACCTGAATAGATCCACTGGTTCTCTAATCTAGACTCAGTGGAACGGTTTCTTTGGTCTGTAGTCGAGGCCCTGCCAGGGATGAGTGGACATGTATTCATACTTCTCCAGGAGAAATCACAGCAGAAGGCTGGAGAAATGGCTCAGCGGTTAAGAGCACTGACTGCTCTTCCAGTGGGCTAGGGTTCAATTTGCAGCAACCACATGGTGGCTCACAACCATCTGTAATAGAATCCGATGCCCTCTT